GTTATGAATCATAATATAAACACCTATGGTTTCCAATGGTCTTAGGTGACCCCTGTGAAAGGTTGAGAATAACGGGACTAGCTTTTCTAGGTTGGCAGTTTCCATAACTTCCCTGTCCTCACAGAAAAAGAATCCTTTGGCCAGCAGGGCCTGGGAACTGAGAATTGGCACATAGTAGGAAGAGACAGGGAAGGCTGGCATAGACTCTCTTACTGCTCCTGAGGAGACTAGCAAACAGAAGCAGATGCCAGTCCTAGTCACAGGATGGAGATGGGATAGGATAGTTTTGTAATGGAAAGAAGGCTAATGTATTGCTCTTCACAGATACACCAAGACTACCCAATTTAAGTTGCTAGTTTCTTCCAAAAAAAAAAAAAATGGGGTTTTATGTAAGCCAGGCCAGTCTTAAACTCATGATATAGCCAAGGATGACTTTGACCTACTGAACCTCCTGCCTCCACCTCCAAGGGCTTGGTTAATAGGAATGTGCCTGGTTTAAATGGTGCTGGGGACCAAATCCAGCTCATACCTGCTATCAACTGAGCTATACCCCTGGTCCACATCTGCTTGTTTAAAGAAAATATGCCCATGATAAGAATTTATCACAATTTTCAACAGTAATTCAGCCAAGAGTCACCATTTTTCTGCTCTTGTGTAGGTGTGTACTTGCTGGTTGTTCTTAAGGATTCAGAAAGCAATTCAGGTTTCATAGACCAGTATGTTTGGGGAGGCTGCAAATGCTGGCTGCCCTCTGGAAGCACAGTGAGAGTTCTAAAGAAGTTTTGGGTTTGATTTTCATCTCATTCCTGATGTTGGGTTGTATGTTAGCTATCTAGTACCACATAACAAATGACTGCAGTATAGCAGCTTAGGCCCCCATATAATTGCAGAGATCTGTGAGGCAAGAATCTTGACATTCAGTTTCCATCTGTTAGAGGACTGCCCTCAAGGCATCAGCCGGGCTGGGCTCTCACCTGAAGGCTCGTCTAGGGGAGATTTACTTTGGAGGCTGTTGGCAGAATTTAGCTCTTTGAGGTTTGGACTTGGAGCCTTGGTTCCTACTTGGTATTGGCTGGAGGCCACCCTCAGTTCCTTGTCAGGTGGGGCTTTCCAGAATAGCTGTTTTCTTTATCCAAGTATCTGAGCCCAGACTGTCAGGAGAGCGTGTAAACAAGATGGGAAGCTCCAGTGTTGGGTAACCAAATTGTGGAAGGAATGACCCACTAATTTTGGAGCATTGTACCAATTACAAGCAAGTCATTGACCCCATCACACAAGAATAGGGGATTTATGCAAAACTGAATATCAGGAGGCTATTTTAGGTTGCTCACCACTGGGCTGTAAGCACACCTGCCTATCTCAGAACCATGTTCATTTGCTTGCTAGCTAAACATCCTATCTTAGTTTCTTTTCCTGTTACTGTGATAAAATACCCTAACAAAAGCAACTTACAGGAGACAAGGTTTATTTGGATCATAATTCAAGGTAGAGTCCACCAAGACAGGAGGAGCTTGAAGCAGCCAAGGTCATTACATCTACATCAGAAAACAGACTGGTGAACACGTGTGTTAAGCTCACTTTCTCTTTCTATTAATCCAGGACCCAAGCCCAGGGAATGGTTCTACCCACTTTTAGGCTGTGACTTCTCACCTCAGTTAACCAAATTAAGATAATCCCTGAAAGGAAAGGCCAAAGGCTCATCTCACCCCAGCTCGTAGATTCTACCGAGCTGATAATTAACTCACCTTCTCACCTCAACTACCGAAGTGTCTTAGGGTTTCCGTTGCTGTGAAAAGACACCATGACCACTGCAACTCTTATAGAGGAAAACATTTAATTGGGACTGGCTTATAGTTCAGAGCTTTAGTCCATTATCATCATGGCAGGAAGTATGGTGGCATACAAGCAGACATGGAGCTAGAGAAGGAGCTAAGAGTTCTGTATCTTGATCTGCAGGAAGCAAAAGGAGACTGTGTGTCACACTGGGCGTACATAGCTTGAGCATATGAGACCGTAAAGCCTTGGCTGGCTTTTGGGACTCTATTCCTCCTACTGGATTGCTTTGTCCAGCCTTAATACATGGAGAGGTGCTTAGTTTCACTGCAACTTGATATGCCATGCTTTGTTAATACCCATGGGAGACCTACCCCTTCCTGAACAGAAACAGAAGGGGAGTGGGTTGTGGGGAGGGCACAGAAGGGAGGTGGAGGAGGGAATGGGAGGGGAAACTGTGGTTGGGATGTAAAATAAATAATTTAATTTAATTAAAAAGACTTCAAAGCCCGAATCCACAGTGACACACTTCTTCTAACAAGGTCATGCCCACTCCAAACAGACCACACCTTCTAATAGTGCCACTCCCTATGGACTAAAGCATTCAAACACTTGAGTCCCTGGGAACCATTCTACTCACACCACCACAGGAGTGAGAGTTGGTAGAAAAAGCCAGCACCGGGATATGTGTAATGATGACCCTGAGCCTCTCTTCCTTCCAGACTTCTTCCTACTGGAAGTACATAGCTGGAATGTAGTATCTTGTAAATCAAGACCAGCTTCCTAGACAGAGTCTGACTACAAAAAGGATATTCCCAGCACTTGTGGCAGAAACAAGTGGATCTCTGTGAGTTGAAGGCCAGCTTAGTCTATATAGTAAAATGTCTTTAAAAAAGAAAAAAGACATCAATACAATGTATTTGCTTGAATAGATTTTAGACTTAGTTCTTTTGAAAACTCATTCTTTTAATCTGTTTCTGTGCGTGTGTGTTCATGTGCATGCATGAACACTAGAAATCAAAGCCAGGCATCTTCCTTCTCAATCTCCACTTTTTTGATTGTTTGTTATTTGTTTGTTTATTTTTGAGACAGGGTCCTTCTATGTAGCCTTGGCTGTCCTGAAACTTGCTCTGTAGACCTTGAACTCACAGAGATCTACCTGCCTCTGTCTCTCAAGTGCTGGGATCAAAGGTGTGTGCTACAATGCCTGGCTATTCCAGTCTCAGGACCCCCAGATAATCCTGGGTTCTATATGGGTGTCTGGGATGAAATTCAGGTCCTCATGCTTGAGCTGCAAGTACTTTACTAACTGAGCCATTTCCCCAACTCCTACTGCCTCTTTTTAAAAATAACAAATGCTTTACCATAACTTTCATCCAAACATAAAATCCATTCTTGTACACATATTTCAAGACATCAAAATGACTTTACTGATTAAAAAAAAAAGATAAAAGGAACTAATTACAATAAAATGCGTTTGTTTATTATTTATTTTATGTGTGTTGGTGTATCTGTGCACAACATGTGTGAGTTACAGAAAGTTGTAAACTGCCATGTGGGCACTATGAATTAAAGTCTGGTCCTCTGCAAGAGAAATTCGTGCTCTTAACCTCTAAGCCATCTCTCCAGCCACCTAGAAATGTGTTTACTATATAAATACAGGGCTGTAGAGATGGTCAGTGGTTAAAGTGATTGCTGCATATCGTGAGGACCGAAGTCCAGTTCTCAGCACCCATGGAACAAACCAGGCACCCCACATATGCCTTTAACCCAAGCTCTGAGGAGGAGGAGAGATAGGATTGCTGAGATTCACCTGTACCAGATTCAGCCGCAAGCCTCATCTTACAAAAATACGACGGTGAATGATTGAGGAGGACACCTGACTTCAGCCTCTGGTGTCAGCATGCATGACCACAGTGTACATTCATACACACATGCCGAGTAAGCATGTACAGATACAAATAAGTAAACAAGTCTTTAAAAGATATGTAAATTCTCTAAAACAGAGATTGGATTCTTCTATCTGACTTAGAGTCACTGTTAACTAGACATGCAGACTGATGCTTGAATTTCAGCATAAAGGGAAGGACTTGGATCTTATAATTTGACATTGGTGCTGCAATTTCTTAGCAAGATGAATAATTCTTGGAAACTTTCAAAACAAAACAAACCATTATCCCATAATTTACATAGTAGTTATATTCCTGGAAATTTGAATGTGTGTTCTAATTGTGAAAAGAAAAAACAATCTCTTGGTTGGAGTTAGTCCAGGCTCAGGTAGTTATAAATAAGACTATTGTCATGCTGAACACTGGGGACACTAAGGATTTTGAGAAAGTTAATTATAGAGGATTTTGTTGTACTTGCCAGGGCAAATTTCTGGACCCTCGTACCCTCTCTTCCAAAATCTCCCAGTTCTGTAAATGGATCTCAATTACTGTAACAACAAAATCCATTGTTTGAGCAAGTGTGGTGATACACACCTGTGATTCCAGCACTTGGGAAGTTGAGGAAGGGAGATGGAAGGTTTAAAGTCAGCCTGGACTACACAGTAAACTTTGTTTCAATATTAAATTAAAAAAAAAAATCCCTGTGGCTGGAGAGATGGCTCAGCAGTTAGAAGTGTTGCAGAGTGCTTTTGTAGAGGACTAGAGTTCAGTTCCCAGACCCACATCAGATGACTCAACTGTTAACTACAGCTTTACAGGATCCAGTGCCCTTGTTTGACCTCCACGAGTCCCTACACATATACATGCTTGCCTGACAGAATGCTCGAACGCACACAATTAAATAATAAAAGTAAGTTTTTTTGGTTTTTGAGATAGGGTTTCTTTGTGTAGCCCTGGCTGTCCTGGAACTCACTCAGGCTGGCCTCGGACTCACCGAGATCCACCTGCCTCTACCTCCTGAGTGCTGGGATTAAAGGCATGTGCCACCACCACTGTGCCATAAAAGTAAACCTTAAAACAACAAAAACTAGAGCTTGTGGTACACAGAAGTTCAACACCATCTTTGCTCCACAGTGAGTTCAAGGCTGTCTTGGCTACATAACATACTATACATTTTTTAAGAATGAGCTGGGGTTTATCTCAATGGTAGGACACTTGCCTACTATATGCAGAGATTAGTAAACCTCAGTACTAGAGAAAACAAAACAAAAAAACAACTAAAAAAAAAAAAAGACAAAAAAAACCTACAACCCTGACAAATGCTTTCTTTTTCAACAGAAACCTGTTTCCTTCCAATCTTCTGGTTGCAGCGTTCTCTTCGGTAAGGTTTGATACTTTATCAAATACATGAAACTTTGATTGGAGAACTATATAAATGAATGCCCCAGAGTTTGGTAATGTAGAGTAGGGACAGGTGCTAGTGTAGTCCATCCCCAAACCCTTCTGGAGTGAGGTTTGTTAGGAGAAGTGAGAAAAGAAAAAAAAAAAAAAAAAAAAAAAAAAAAAAAAAAAAAGGTACACTATATGTTAGCGTCCCAGTGTGGCTTCCCTGTGAAACCTGGAAAGGAGCTTCATTAGCAGTGAGAGTAGGACAGATGGTAAGGGGGTGCCATGAGGATGAGCAGGGAGGCCACAGGAGCCTCTTCATAGACTTTCCAGGGAAATCCAGAGGGATCTGGTTATAAACAAACATTAGGGTCAGTTTTTATAGATGGATACTTGGAACAAAATTAAAAAATAACAAAACTCTACAATGTAGAAAGGGGCTCAAATCTTTCTACAGCATTTAAAAAATGCCCTCAAAACATTGTTTGGAGAATGTCCTAAACATTGTAGAATTTTTAGAAGTAATATTTTTGTACTGATGTAAATGTTCCAAACAAAAGAAGAAGTGGGGGGGAAATCTTCCCACAGTAACTACATAGAATGACCTCTCATTCACATTTGGGTGTATGTCCTTCAGTGTGTTTCTTTCCTATGAATATATAGACAGTATTTATTTATTTTATGCTGAGTGTATGAGTGTTCTTCTGCATGTATATCTGTGCACCACATGCATGCCTGGTGCCCTCTGAAGGCCAGAAGAGGGCATTGGATCCCTAGGAGTTACAGATGGTTGTGAGCTGCCATCTGGATCCTCTGGAAGAGCAGCTCTAGCCTTTTCTCTAGCCCCTGTGAAAGCAGTTTTTAAACATAATTATGCAAATGCATTGCTCCCATGTATACACATGCAGATATGCATTATGACCTGCTTTTTCTATGACAGCATATTCCGAACATTTTCCCATGTGGGTAGATTTCCTCTCACCTAGAAGTTGGTGGCTGTAAGAATGTAACACACTTTTCTTCCAACTGGCCTTATTGATGGACTTTCAGGTTGTTTATAGATTTCACCTTTTTAAAGCAATGTGGAAAAGAAGCACCTGTAGCCATTCTTCACACAGAAAACAAGTAGATAGGTCTAGGTATTTGATCTGATTGCTTTTTATGAGAAAAAAAACTTTATTACAACAGTTTTTGTTTTGCATATTTTTTTACACATTGAAGAACTGGGCTCCAGCAGAGCCCACTCAGTAGCAGGGACAGAGATGCGGTGTGTCTAGTCAACCAACACCAAGGCCCAGGAGACTTGACCAACAGACATTGCTTTGCCTTGTGTCCATTCCTCTGGAGATGACAGTTTAAGGCAGATTAGAAACAGATGCCAAAGAGCAGCCATACTTGAGCCATTCTGGAACACAGTGGAGCATAAAAAAAAAAAAATGAATGAGGGGGAAAAACATGATGGACTTTGGCTTTTGGGAATTTGTGCCAAACTTCTTCAAATAATCTGAAGCATGAGCTGTGGGAGTACCAAACTATCAGCAGGAAATTGTGTACATCTCCTTTAACCTATTGCCCAAGGAACAGATGGAAATTCTGTTCCCTAAATAACCCAAAAGCTTCTTGAAAGGCTTGCTGCCTTGGTGTTAATGTAACTTTTATGCAGGTTTCAGAGTTCAGTGTCAGGCTAGCCAAGTGTAGCCTGCCCAGCACACTTACCGAATACCAGCAGTAGAATGACACCTCACCATGCCTTTAGTGCCTGGGTCCTTAGACTTGCTCACTGATGATGGGTTTTCTTCCTCTTTATTAGTCTGCAACCAATTACACAGTGGTGACCCATAACACCAGCTCGGGAAACGTGACCTACGAGAAGGTAAGACCCTCCAGAAGATCACAAAAGTATGTGGAAAGCAAACCAGCTTCCTTAATGAAGGATGTCCACAATATGTCTTTTACTTACAGGGGTTGAAAATTGGGATTCTGAATGGAATTTAAAACCTCCAGTTTAGGTTTGCTCCTTACCATCAAGGCCAAATGCCAGAGTCTGGAGCACAGGAATTTTCAGAGGTCTGTAAACTATTTCATAGCACTCCTTCTCTCCTAATGCAATGGGATGGTGACAGCATACACACAGAACTTGGATAAAAAACTAACATGATGTAAGGTGGAAATAAAAATAGCATAATATCTGAGGGGCCCCTGGCAGTAGGACAAGGATCTATCCCTGGTGCATGAGCTAGCTTGTTGGAGCTCATTTCTGTAGTGGGATGCCATGCTCAGCCTTAATGCAGGGGGAGGGGCTTGGTCCTCAACTTGATGTGTCAGGCTTTGTTGAATTCTCATGGAAGGCCTTGCCCTTTGGGAGGAGTTGATGGGGGGTGGGCTGGGGGAGAGATGAGGTGGGTGGGAGAAAAGACTATGGTTGGAATGTAAAATTAAATAATAAAAAATTTAATTAACCCAATATATATTTTACCATATAAATGGACAATTATAGAAGATACAACCAAGTTTTTGTATATTTTCATCTACTTGGAATTAATGAATTTGGATCTAAAAAACAGGGAGGCCTGGTACTGATAAGACTCTATTGTAATCCCAGCACTTAAGAGGCTGAGACACGAGAATCACTGTCAGCTCCAGGATAGCCTAAGCTATGCATGAAGATTCTCTCAAAAATAAAATTAAGTAATAATGATAATAATATGTATGGTGGCATGTGCCTGTAGTTACAGCTACCTGAGGAACTGAGGCAAGAGGATTGCTTGAAACCATCCATGGTGCAGGCCAGCTAGTGCAACATAGTGAAACCCCTATAAATACAATATAGTTTGCATTTATACTATAAATACAATAAAGTTTGTCTGCTGTAGGTCCTACAATCTCAGCCCTCACTAAGGACGATGCTCACCCTAGACAAAACCTTGCCCTTGCAGAGCTCATTCTAGTGCAGGGGACCATAGAACAAATTCATCCACTTAGAGAAAAAAAAAAAGACGGGAGGCAGAGGCAGGCGGATCTCTGTGAGTTCGAGGCCAGCCTGGTCTTCAGAGCGAGTACCAAGATAGGCTCCAAAGCTACACAGAGAAACCCTGTCTCAACCCCCCCCCAAAAAAAAGAAAAGAAAAGAAAAAAGGAAATAGAACACATAAACAGGCAGAGAATGTATATGTATGTGCTAGATAGTGGTGGTGGCTTAGCCTTGCTGAGTGGGGAGTCCTTTCCATAAGATGAAGGGGTACACAGAAGGCAGTCTGGAGAGAGAATGCTTCAGGTGGTGGGAAAAGAGTATGCAAAGGCATACATAACACTACTTGGGGAGCAGCCCTGGCTGTGACTGACAGTGGCTTTCCTGACTTATCAAAGCCAGATTTACTAAGGTGAGTTAAACCCCAGCACACTTTACACCCACTTGCCACAAGCCTCCACAGAAAAGACTCATTTCATTGGTTGCTCCAAGCCAGAAAGTCAGTTCCTTATCTGGAATGACCTGATCTCCAATACCACACCTTGGACTTACAGACATCCTGAAACCAACATTTGACAGTAGATGAATTCCCTGGTTGCAATGATTTTTGACCCTCAGTCCTGGCTAGGGCTCTGGACATGGACAAATGAATGAGTTGGTACTCTCTGATCAGTAGCAGGTGCTTGTCAGGCAACCCACAGGTCCTAGTAGTGTTGACTTCTCCACAGACCACTGAAGCTAGCCATAGAGCTGGCACTGCCATTCAGATTTTTTTTCCTATAGCTCTTTAACCTTGTTTCTTTAATAGGCCAAGTCCAGGATAGAACAGCAGTACTCAGAAATTTATGGTATTACAATAGCATTCTAAGAACATATTCCAGGATGATCTCTAAGTCAATATCCATTATAATAATAACAAGACTGGTAGTCCTATCACTTGAGAGGTGAAGGCAATAAAATTTTGAGTTCCAGGCCTGCTCTAGCTACATAGGGAGACCCTGTATCACAAAGTTAAAAAAAACAACCTTTCCTTTACTGTGTATTCCTGGTCTATACTGTGTCTCCTGTCTACACATCTTCAGTATAGTCATCAATTAAGCAAAGACCCTTTGGGAAAAGCCCATGTGAATCCTGAAAATCTCATAAGACTTTTTAGCTAGGAGGTCAGTATAAGAGCCAAACAGCAGATGTCCTGACAATTGGGAGACGACAGTTACAGTCCTTGGGTCTCTGAAGGAACTTTCTAACAGCGAGATTTTCTTTTTTTTCTTTCTTTTTTTTTGCTGCTCCCCCCCCCCCGTTTGGGGGTTTGTTATTGTTTTTTTTGTTGTTGTTTGATTGTTCATTTAATTAGTTTAGTTTGGTTTGATTTTTGGTTTTTTCGAGGCAGGGTTTCTCTGTGTAGCTTTGGAGCTTGTTCTAGCACTT